CACGCTCCTGTGTGTATAACTTGATGTGTCATTCACCTTACTCCAGCCATCTCCACTCCTCCCAGTGGAACAAAGAGGCAGCTGAGGCCTCACAGATAAGGGAGGGCTTTGGCTTGTACGCTAGCCTGGCCTCAGAAGGGCTGGCTTCATCCAACTTCCTTGGCTACAATGGGGAGTGCGTGACTCCCAAGTGCTTTTGCAAGACGCTGGCCCTATGAGCTGGTGTTCTCAAGTTTTGGCAGCATCATGCCAAACAGACCTGTTCCAGAATCACATGTGCTCACTGTGAGACTACCTACAGCATCGCACAGAAGAGGATAGAACCAGCAGCCAATGTCATGAATACCACTGGCCTTGCTTCAACACTTCTTCAAAGGCAAAACGTTTTATAAGTGGACAGACACATTTCCAGAGTCTGTAACAGCTCAGCCTCTCCCCTCTCTCCCTTGTGTTAAGAGCCATGTGTAAAATTGTACTGACTTCAGTTTCCCACTCTGATATAGCTAGACAGAATCACAATCTATTATTGATCTGCTCACGTTGTGCTGAAAACTTGAATGTTTTATTCATTATATGGTTGGTTTGAGGGTTTTGTTACATTATTCTTCACTAGAAATAAAAAAAGACCAGGAGCAAGGGACTCGCTCTTACCATAAATAAGAGAGAATGAGGCAGGCAGCAGCTTGGGGCTTCTGATACATCTACTTGATGTTCAAGGACCTGCTTATCCCCTCAGCACCATGAGGCTCTTGGTGAGACTTCACAGTTGGTTGTGCTTTTATAAACAAACTATTGAAAGGTACTTTTCTATTGTCATTTTTTAAAAAATAAAGTGTTTATTCCAGCTGTCACACCATTGCTTGGCAAATTCTTTTTTGCAAGATCAACCAAACGTGTCCACAATGCAGACTAGGGACTAAAGATGTGTGTTTCATTTTCAGGTTTTGGCTGAGCTAAGCACTGGCACTGAGCGAATGTACAGAGTAGGAATGGGAAAGGCAGAGGGAAGCCTCTACAAATGCACTACCGAAGCCACCTCAAGATGAACTCCTACACATTTCTGAAATACCTTTTACAAAACTCAACTGACTACTATTCACATCAGCTTATAAAGTCTGAGCTCAAGTTATTCAAATTCTATTAAAGTATTACTCAGTGTATTCTATATACGCTTACCCTTTTTAATAGTGCTTAATTCCAACTATGTGAACAACCACTGGTAACTCCTAGACACTGCATTTTTGGCTCTGATTTAGACCTAACACCTCTTTGCCAGAGGAGAGTACCCGCCAACATGGTCATGATCACTGCCATCAGACCTCGAACTCACGGATAATCAGAGAAAATAAAACTGATGTGGAGCTTTGCCTTCAGCCCATCTATGTGTGAATTTTCAACTCCAAGGCACCAGAGACTGCCACACACAGGTGGCTCCAAAGGCCTTGTTTTCACCACTTTTCGTAGCTCCCAGTGATACCCACAAATTCTCTTACTAGTGCCTCACATCAAACCACACTGATTCTGCTTTATGGGCTTGGGAGTGCATCTTTCCATAAACCATAATGTAACCTGTCCCAAAGTGGAAAATAGCAGTGAAGCCTTGGTTCTCTACTGTTTGAATACAGCTCTTTCTTAATGGAAGGTCTGAGTGGGGAGAGATAAATGGGTTACTTTGTTCCACTTGCCCACTTGGAAAACTCACTCTTTGACTATGCTCAGTAATGCCAAATTAGAAACTTGATTAGGCCAGATGCTTAAATTCAACTCAAGTTGTCTTCTGAGCAAAAAGCAGGCACAAATGCAATGAGAAGTGTTCAAATACCTGGACAGAGGAGCACTTTTCCCTTAAAAGAACACAGGCTTTAGGAGGAGCTTTGGCAAGCATGTTTAATATTGCACAATAGTCAAGTGCAAGATAAACCTGTTCTGGGTGTTTCTGGAGCTGATCTTACCAAATTCAGGCTGTGGTTTACTTAGTTGTCCCTTTTGGTCGAATTACATTTTCTTATTTAAATATATGTGGCTTTGCAATGAACATTCTTTGAAAATCTGCAAACTTCTGGTCAGCTGAAAAGTCCCTGGGTTTTCAGCAGGGTCACAGGAATGTGCTGACCCACCCCCAAGCCAGAGGAGCTGTCCCAGTACTTCCCCAAAGGGGTCTTTGACAGGGTAGCCTTGTCAATCTGCTAAAGAGTGACCACTTCATTTCTTCCACCCCAGTACTAATCAAGCCTGGCCTGGCTTAGACTGCAATATGAGATGGTATGGTCACAGACCAGACATTTATTTGTAATGGAAATCCTTTTATGAAGCAAAATGTGTTTTGTTTTTGGTGGTACTTCTCAGCTTCGTGCTTGCAAAGCAGACACTCTACCATGTGAGGCACATTTCCAGTCCACTTTGCTCTGCTTTTTAGAGATAGGGGCTCACAAACTATTTGCATGGACTGGCCTTGAGCCATGATCCTCCTGACCTAAGCCTCCCAAGTAGCTAGATTATAGGCATAAGCCAGCTGCACCCAGCAGGAAAATGTGTTTGCTCTTGGAACTATAGTCTGAGGATGGCTAACAGCACAATGCCAAGGCCTATTCTAATTCCATGTTTACAAAAGTGTGCTTCCCCAACACCCACAAAACAAGACAAATCGGACGGGTATTCTGAGGTTAGCCTAAGAAATGGCCTCCAAGAGGTTCTGAACCTTCCCCATCCCTGTGACTCACGGAACACCTATTCATCTCTGAGGACTGTTCCACAAGGTACACAGTGGGAAATGAACTTTCTATATGAAGCCCCAAGGACAGCAATGAGAGTGATGACAGGCAATCACTGTTCAGACCCAGCACGCACCCCAGCCTTGCCGCAGAAGACCCAGTGCTATTCATTGCTATTCTTGGCTTGCTAACAAGTCGGTACATCTCAGAAAGCACAAAATCTTCCCACAACCAATCACTGAGAATAAAAACAGTAGTAGAGGGGACAGTGAGCCTCAGATATTTGCCATTAGCTGTTAAGAACTGAAGAACTAATAAACCCAATACCCTAACCCACACAGCTGTCTACACTCAGAGTTTGTTTGTCTCTAGTGATTTCTAACAGCTGTACATTTACAGCCCCTCCTTGTCACCACAAGAATAGGAAATACTGGGATGTTTTCTGCACTGCCTTTTCCCCAATACTCTGCTCCACAGGTATCAAGTGCTCCTCCATTCCCAGGGTCTTACCATCATCAGGCCACACCTACGGTCTGTGACGGCAGCCAAATGTTCCGTTTTTACACTCTGTGTAAAAACTTCACTATCCCCTAAAAGCCTCATGTAAGTGTGATGAATTAGTTCAGAGGCACTGTAGACGACTGCTTTAGCCTTTTAACTCTCTCAGCCATGCCAACTCCCACTTGCTTCTAAATGGCAGGAAACTCAGAAGAAACGGGCAGAGCAAGGACACGCTTTAACTGGGAATTTCTGGGGGAATGTTTTCAGACACCCAGAAGAACTATTAAAAGACTCTTCTTATAATCATCAAACACTACTAGGCTTCTATCAGATTTTCCACAAAGCTTATATTCTCCCCACACATCACCGAGTGATGTAATCCCAATACCTCAACATGGAGGAATTGCTCTGATATGTCTTAGGCAAAAAGGTATCAAGGCCTAACAAAAGAAAATGTAGGGCCAGGAGTGATGGTACAAGCCTATATCCCAACTACTCAGGAGGTGGATGTAGAAGGACAAGAGGTCCAGGTCAGCCCAAGCAAATGCATGAGATCCTATCAAAAACTAAAAGCAACAGTACTGGGGGCATGGCTTAAGTGGTAAGTCCGAGTTCAATCCCCACTGTCACCAAAAAAGAAAATTCACACAATGAGACAGAGCTATAGAATTTGTAAATGTGGCAATTTAGCAAATACATTTCATTTCTTGAGATGTCAATTTCCTTATTTCTGAAGAGTTTTATACAAGAAAACTGAAATCAATCATCAGGCAGGCCAGTCCACAAAGTACTAGTGAGTACAAGCATAGCTAAAGTCACTAAGAGTACACAACTGGCATTAAAGCATCTTACCTTAGAACCTGTGATAAAGTGTTTGAGATATCCTGAATGCAACCTCCAGGTCTAGTTAAGAAAACAGGATAGAGTGTACAGCCCACAAAAACAGACATCTGCTTGGAGATGAGTTAATTCCCGATTCACAGGAACTAGTTTTATGCTATGACATTAACACTCTTCGCCAGCAAAACACTTCAGACACAAAGTGAGACAATGAATTCCCTGAATTCTAAATTATTAGTGGAACCTCAGTGTGACATCTCACAACCATGTTTTGGAGCTTAGAGGTAAGAAAGGCACAACAAACAACATTAAATGGATGAGAAGTACACAAGAAAAAAGTAAAATGCCTTGTCATCTGATCAGACATTTACCATTTTGGGTTACTAATCATACAAACCTTGTTTTTGTAATACAATATGATATTAAACTGATGTGAGACCTCTGGGTCAACCAAAAGGCACACAACAGACTGCATATGAAGTGCAGATAAGAAAAAATGCATGGTTTGCCACAGCAGGCAGGAAGGACAACAACAATTTCCTGTAAGTCACTCTAGCCCTTAAAAATCCGCACATACTTGATAGTGGATGGATCTCATGAGCTGATCCAGGTACCTCCACCAGAAGACCCTCAAGACAAGCAACTTGAGGGCTGAGACACAGTGAACCTGATGTTTAAGTTGGCAAGAAGACTATGCATCCTTGTTCATGGTGGCAGTAGACACTGACTTTCTAAATCCAAGAGGCTAACTACTGATTTGTCCAGTTACATTTAGTGTATGTTTATTGCTTAACTTGTGCTCCAATAGTGAAATCCACGTGCTCAGTAGCACAGTGCAGACTCCAATCTTTTATAACATCCCAAATACTCACGCTGGCAAGTCAAGGACTGGAGCTGCTTCCAGGCATTTCCAAAAATGAACAGAAACAAACTGAATTCACTAACTTCTTAAGAATCTTTCTACAATGATTTTATTATAAATATGTCCTTTTGGAATAAAGAAATACGGCATTCAAGACTATCTGCCAACTTGTTCTAAACAAAGAAGAAAAATGGAACCAGGAACCATTTAGAAGTAGAGATAAATAGCAAAAGCACCTGCATGCCATGCTAAGTGCCTTCCTCCCAAGAAGTAACAAAAGTTGAACAGGGCTATCACATGTCTCCTCAGCCTATTCAGGTAAAATAAGCTTTGAATTTGATAACCCACAATGGTTCTGTAAACTGGACTGCTCCTCTCCTCAGTCCTGAGAAGTAAATAGGAAGACAAGACAGTCTTCAGATCCAGAGCATCAATAAGAAAGGTCTCAATTTTGTTCAAGGTCAAAAGTGTCCCCTATTTGCCAGGGGTAATATCCGAGTAATCCTTCAGCACTCCAGCCAAGTGTTCGTTATGAGTCTTAAACCGTCGCTTTTTCTGTGAAGCAGGCTTTTTCCTTCTCTGAATAGGGGCCTAAAGGAAGAGGTAAAAGCAGTTAATAACATAGCAGCACTCCACAAGACAGTCTAATCAGGAATAACTGACCAAGTTCATAAACAAGCAGCAAAGGACAGAGTTGTGGACCTCTCTTCCTGCTCTCCCTCCAAGCAGATCTGGTACTTTGTGTTACCATGTGAGCCAAACCTTCACCGGGAACAAAATCGGCTGGCATGAAAAACCCACTAGAACTATCGTAGGCACTATGTAGATAAACAAAAGAGAGGCAGTGAAGCTCTGTGTTTTGTCTCTGTTAGCAAATCTAAAAATACATCTACCATTACCAAATTAAAAAGAACTGGCCAGGCTTGGTGGCTCATGCCTACAATCCTAGCTACTGTAGAGGTGGAGATAGGAAGGATCACAGTTCTAGACCAGCCTGGGTAAAAAGTTAAGACTGAATCTCATCCAATAAAAGCTGGGCATGGTGGTGCACACCTGTCATTCCAGCTACACCCAGATCATGATCAAGGCCAGCACAGGCATAAACCTGAGACCCTATTTGAAAAATAATAACCAAAAAGGACTGGAGTGTGGCTCAAGAGCTAGAGCGCCTGCCTAGCAAACAAGAGGCCCTAAGTTCAAACCCCAGTAACACATGGGGGGAAAAAATAGCTAACATATTGAGATAACACAAAACTGGGAAATAGGCACACAAACATTTGTAATATTATCAATTTGGTATACTTGAAATGTTAACATCACATGGTTTTAAAAATCAATAAAGTAAGCAGCAACAGGAATCATGAAGGGCTACAATTACACTCACTCATGGAGAGATCACTGGCAATAAACTGCTGTTTTCATGGGTCCTAAAACTTCACTTAGGAACTCACAGATACACAGAGGCAGCCACAAAGAAGGCAAGCATGGTGACAGGAAGGGGGAGGCACCGCCTCCCACACACAGCCTAGGGTGGTGGTGAGTTATTCCTACCCTGGCTCTGTTCTTGAACTACAGACAGGTGGTTTCCTGGTCCAAGGCAATTTAGCAGTCTTCATTTGCTTACTAGTACCTTTTATGATCAGGACTTAGGGGCTAAAAAGACAAAAATATTGGTCCCCGCAGAACCTGAAAATCACCAAAGGCAATTCTACATGATCAGGAATTCAGCACCACCAAGCACCAAGTATGAGACGGCAAAGCAAGGGAGTGGGGGGAGCCCAATTAATGTGTTAATGGGCAAACAAGTGGCAATGTGGTTCCTTTTAGAAACTGGGACAATGTGTACAGAGGGTCAGAGGTAAGAAGTGGACAACACTGAGACCCCAGAACAAGGAGGTATGGCTGGAGCTCAGGAGCTGGCACTATTAGGGTGAGCTGCAGAGATCATGGAAAAGCTCTCCCAGGCAGGGGAGCCACATCTAAGGGCTGGTGTGCTGGCCTCACTCAACACATAAGACAGGATCTGGATTGCATCTGGCCAAATCACAGGATTAGTAACAAAACAACCTGGAAGGGGGAATCAATCACTAACTGCTCTTCAGAGAAGAGAATGGTAAGCAGTTCAGAGAACAGAGATTACACTATTTGTGTAGAGATTACATACCACTTTCTTTGGTCCAGATTCCTGCATGGAAGAAATACCCTGTCGCTTCAGATATTCTTCAATTTTCTCCTCATCCATTGAATCCACAGTGACACTCCTCCAAAGTTTCTGGAATTCTGTACCAACAAGACAGTAGTTCTGACACTGAGTTTTACAAACCACGGCATCTTGGTGATCAAAATCCAGTCTTCAATACTCTCATGCGGGCCTAACATGAGATTTCATATGATCACATCTGAGATTTCATCATGAAAACAAACAAGTAAATCAAGAAGATTCCAGTGCTGCACAGTGAGTGGCACAAAGGGCCTAGAACAAAATGGTATCAGAATAGATGACGTCAACATGCTGTTTTTGAAGCCAGTGAGTGAAAGGCCTCCCTGCTTTCCTGGGAAAGAAAGGCAGTTAACACTCCTTTTACTCCTAATATTGGTTCTTTCCCTTTTGCACAAATAGCTTAAATTTCTGCTCATCTGCCCTGAACTCAGCATACTCTATCTTCTCTCCACCGATAGTAAGAAACACAGAGGGAGACAGGACACCAAAGCTTTATACAGAAGTGAGGTGCTGTAACAATTTATTTGCAAAAGTCTTTTGAAATCAACCTGGGGATTGGTGACTAAGAAGAGAAAAAGAAAAAAGGGTACAGCTGAGACACAAATGCACTCCATACAAAAGAGACAGGCCTATATCATCAGCTTGTATCTTGTCCTCAGAGACCATGGGTAGCTCTGCCCCATATTATTATTTTTGTAAGCAAAAGGACTCACAATTGGGACATGTTCAAAATGAAAATCCTTTGCATCTTAAACTCTGCTTCTAAAGACAGGATCTAATAACCATATTTGCCATTGTTAGCCTCTATTTTGAGACACAAAAAAACTACTTGTGATGGCAAAATGTCAAGACGTATGTATGCTCGATGGGAGGGAGGGAGGGAGGGAGGGCTCCCGAATGCTGAGAATGGTTCAGTGGGCACCATGGAGCCTGCCTCCTGCTGACTTGCCTTCTAATTTCAGACACGTACCCAACCCCATCCTTCCCTTCCTTGCAGGGCTGTCAATACAGTCTTTTTCACAAGCTATAAATGAACCAGGTACCCAATAGGGTTTTTTTTTTTCCCATTTCCCTCTTTCATAATTTCACAACATACTGCACAAAGCAAAACAGAACTCTGGTTAATCTGTTTTGTTAAAGTTTTGTCACTGGGGATCAAATGCAAAAAAAAAGAAAGAAAGAAAAGAAAAGAAAAAGAAAGAAGTACCATAATATACTTCAAAGATTTCAACCTAGGCACAAAGTTACTTAAATCCAAAACATCCAGGAATAATATTTCCACAGATGTATACTAGGGGTTCATTCTACTATACATATACACATTATAACTCTCATCTGCACATTTTATAGACATCATTTAACTGATAACAATTGTTTGTTTGCCTGACTTTCCCAGCATCTTAAACAGTGACAAGTTCCTTAAGAGCAGGAAATCCTATTTTCATACAATTCCTACAATAGCATGTACTGCACTTGGCAATGATAGGTCCCCTAAAAAATTATCCTTATCTACTATGGCCTAGACATCACAGACTGTTTGCTTTGTACATTTTTTAAAGGTTTAAAATAATTTTACATTAACAGAGAAGTTACATAATTGGAACACAGAGTTCTTATATACACTTTATCCTTAGAAACAATTTCTTAAGCTTATTAACCCAACATAATACCGTGTACTAACTGACAGCTCTTTGATTTTCACTAATGTTAACATCAGTGCTCTTTTCCTGGTTCAGGATCCAGATCAGGATCCCACATTGTGCTGCACTGCCATATCTCCTCAGGTCTCCTCCACTCTCCAAGTGCACCCAGCCTTTGTCTCTCATTCCCATGACACATCTGAAGAGCACTGGTCGTTTTATTTGGAGGAGGGCCTTCAATTTGTGTTTGTCTGGTTATTTCTTCAAAATGAGACTGATGTTGCCCATTTGGCAAGAATAACACAGGAATGAGACTGTGCCCTTCTCAGTGCATACCATCAAGAGTGCATGATATTGATAAGTCTTATTCTTACAGTTGGTAAACTCCGATCGCTGGTTAAGAGGTGTCTGTTGGGTTTCTCTGCCGTGAAACTATTCTGAGACTATGCAAATATACTATTCCTGATACTTTCCACTCATGGATTTTAGCATCCATAGCCTACAACAGTTATTACTTGAGTGTCTACTGCAAATAATTTCCATCATTCCTTCCACACATATTAACTCTATAGAGATCTACTGTTCTGCTTTCTCTATTTGTTTTTAAATTATTTAATTTCATATAGCCTCATGGAGATTTAAATTATATAGGGAGTGCAATCCATTACTGTCATTTATTTGTTACTTAAATGTCCCAGCTTGGCCAATTCCTGTGCCTGTTTTTTTGTTGTTGTTGTTTTTATTTTTTTCTTTCAGCACTCTCTAACTTCCAGGTCCCAAAAGATGTTCCACATTCATCTTTTATTTCTCCAAATATGGAATCAATCATTTCTCCAAGGATTCCATAATTGCTTCATCGTAGAATGATATTTAGAAACCAACATCTAGGCATTTTGTTTTCTTTTTATAGCAAATTGTTTTCTTTTTTGAAAACAAAAAATGATCAGGGAATATCAAATTTGAAGTTGCTTCATTTTACCAAAGATTCCCAAGTATTGTCAAAGTCAGGAATATTCAAAACTATAAGAGTAAATAAAATCAGAACTAATTTAGACACCTACTGTCTCTTTATAGAAAAGAGAAGAAAATAGGCAAGAATTTATAAACTCAGATTTGACCATTTCAATTCAAGATACCTTTCCTTGTCCCAGTTGAGCTAAGAGTAAAAACTGTGTAACTGAGATGAAGGGAAAAAAATAAACCAAGTCATCATGAGGTTTTGCTTAAATATCCAAATAATTCGTTCACATTGGACCTACCCCTTTTTCTGTGAAATACTAAATTAGCAGAACAGTGTGGTACAGAGTATGGAGCCCAGAAAGCTAGGGCATGAAATCACCCCATGTACTGTGCCACTTCTCTGCCTCAGTTTCCTCACCTATAAAGTGGAGATAACAATTACGCCTGTCTCGTGGAAAAGAGGAGATTAAGTGGGATAAAATAAGCAAGCCACTGTGAATGCTACCTGCAGAAGGAAAAAGCAATGGTTGCACCTATCATAGTTACTATCATCTAACATCTATCATCTCTTACTTCAGGGTGCTAATGCCTTAGGCAGTATAGAACATTGACTATTAGAGATAATTTATATAAAATAGAAAAATTAAAATTCTACATATTTCTTAAAAAGCAAAAGTACACATGTATTAAATACATCATAAGATCTGCAAAAATATACACCAAACATCCCCAGAGAAAAGAACAAGGACTGCTCAGTGAATGTTTCCCTTCTACATACATCTTGACAAAAACTTTAATATACAGAAGTAGCTATTACTAGTGTAATGGTAGTATTACACTACTATTAGTAGTGTAATAGTATTCTAAAAATGACAACCTACAAATAAGGACCATACTAATAGCCAGTATGCTTATTTTTCTTTCTTCTATACTAACTATAGTGTTTTAGGAGTTTCAAGAGTTAAGATGAATCTTTGCTATTTTTAAAAAAAGGAAAGGCATGATCTCAAACAGCCACACACCAAGCCTTCCTTCCCTTTCACCTGTTTGTTTCTAATTTGCCTCCTTTTACCTTCATACATTATCACTTTGCAGTTCCCAAAGTGGGGAGGATATTTCTCAATTTAGCTCATCCTTTAAAATAGTGGCAATCTAAAATTTCAGACACTATCAAAATAGTTTTCTTTGTGTGATACATAGAAAAATGCACCCCTCTAGAAGTTCGCATCTTAATCCCAGGGCCTGTGAATATATAACCTTATGCGGCAAAAGGGACTCTGCAGATAAGTTTAAGAGTCTGAGAAGAGGAGATTATCCCAGGATTTGAATTCTGGATTAGAAGATTACTTTTTAGATGTTCATCCCACCATATCAGCATAATTGGACTGAGAAGTATCTAGAAAATTAGTAAAGCATATCGCTGGGTGTGTTTATGATGGCTTTTCCAGAGAGGACTAACTAAAGGGAGGAAATCTGCTCTAAATGTGGGTCTTATCTCATAGGCTGGGGCCCCATGTGGAATGATAGGGGAAGAAGGAAGCCTGCATGCAGGCAATTCTCTGCTTCCTGGCTGCCATGAGGTGAGCTGCTGTATGGCATCACACCCTTTCTGTCATGACAAGACTGAAACCATGAACCAAAATAAATAGTTCTAAATTCTGGTCACAGGTAGGGAAAGCTAACATATTACTCAACACAATATATGTAATCTCTATCAAAATTCCAGTATCATTTCTCAAAGAAACAGAAAAAAGCCCCTAAAATTCATATGGATACCACAAAAATCCAAACTATTTCTACGGTTTGAATATGGTTTGTCCCCTCCAAAACTCAGCAATATCTTCAATAAAGGCTGCCAGGAAAATTGGATATCCACACGCAAAAGAGTAAAATTAGATCCTTATCTCATATAAAAAAATTAAATGGATTAAACACTTGTATATAAGACCCAAAATTGTAAAAATACATGCAGTCTGTGAGTTAGGATAGTTTGATTTAGGATTTTTTACTTCAGGATAGTATAAAAACAGTATTACACATTTAGCAGGAATTGTACTTTGAATTTTGATCTCTTTCTTCTCGGCAAGTACTATGCAGTATGATATTCTCATAATGCTCCCAGCCAGCCACGACAGCACAAGGAAAAACAACTGGTACTCCATCTACCGTGTATGCTGCTGCTGTCCTCGAATGCTTGGAAGATTAGATGCATTTAAGTACATCTTCACCCTAACTTATGATGGGCTCACTGGGACATAACCCCATCAGAAGTCAAGGTATAGGTACACACCTAAGAGAAATAAAAACATGACCACAGAAGAACTTGTGCCCACAGCAGCATCACTCATAACAGCCAAAAGAGGACACAACCCAAATGTCCATCAATTGAGGAATGGATAAGTAAAGAGTGCTATCAATAAAGCATGATTTTTTTTTCACTATAAGCACTTAATACTCCA